GATTTTATAATTTAGGATAACAATTTATAACTTGCTGCATAACCAGCAAGTCGATACAGTCTGATGCTTTTTCGTCTGTTTATGCGATTTTCTTACTCAGCTGAGAAGCTATTACTAAACACATATTTTCATCAACGACCGAGTCTCCATTTTAATCGTAGTTTGGCTTTTTGGCATCATTTATGTAATAATTGGTCGATCGCTGCCGAACTTGTTATTGTTCACTAGGCGCGAAAAAGAATATAAGGTCAGGCGTTGAATTGGGTTGCAGATTTGTTGGTAGAAAAAGTCGCGTTCCGTGCGTGCCAAATTCAAGAGCAAGAAGATCAAAAAGTGCCGTAGGTCAGCTGAGAAGCCACCGTTTTTTCAACACTAAACACAGTAGTTGCGTCGCATTAGCTACAGCTTACAGCGTTAACACATCATAGTTCTCATGGTTCAAAACGTATTTTAATATAACGTTATAATTTAATTGTGCTCCAACAATAATGAGCAGACATATCTCGGAGCAACGTTAGGATATCATAATTTTCACAAGAAACCTTTCTTCAGAGATGAAGCCAAATTTGTTGTTTGGTGGGTACTCCTATAAATAAAATGGTCCCACTACGAGTGTGATTGCTCTGCACAGAACTTCAAAGGTTTTTGTTTCGTTTGTTCACCCTTTGTTCCGGGAAACCAGAACCCGGTTGCGCCGTGACCCCTCGGTGACCCTGCTTTGAACTTCTCAACCGCGCCGTCCATGTGGTCGATGTCCTTGTGCTCCGTACAATCCTCACCTGTTTCTAGGTTTCATCCTGGAAGTCAAAAGGTCCGACTACAGGCAATACCCTCCACTTGTCCTTTATATCTCTGCCATCTACAGGCAGCAACCGCCGCTTGGATTTTAAATATTGGCCAGCCACGGCGGCGACCTCCATTCGGGGAAATGCAAGCCCAAAAAATTAGTTCAAGTGTCCTTCATTCCGCGGCAATGTTCGGGTCATATATGAATACATATTAGCAATTTTTTTCGGTTTTAAGTAAGTGCGTGCAAGACATCTCAAATGAGCAATTAAAAAAAGAATCGGTATGTATTAGCCTCGTCAATACCTATCGATTGATCAAAAAAAAGTTAACACACATAACGCTTAAATCTTTCTCCCCCCTACACAACCATGTATTGAGATCACGGGTAGGTAGCGCATTACCATTTTCGCTTTGCTGCTTGTATATCTCCATCTCCCTTTGGTCCCTTTAGCTGAGTAACGGGTATCTGATAGTCGAGGCACTCGAATATGGCGTTCTGCCCTTTGACCAAGACTTAGTTAAAAAAAGAGAAATCATAATCCAAACAAATTTGTACGCTGAAAATCTTGAAAACAAGTGGCTACAACTAGCTACAGAAAAGTGTTCCCTTATATAGAAAGAATATATAAGAACAAATTATATATACAGCTGCGGCAACAAAAATAGCACCAGTGTGTAGGCAATTCTTCTTTGTGCTACAAAATGGTCATTTTTTGCAATATTTTTATTCTGTTTGTAAGGGTAAGTAGGGTTACATATCTATTAACCAAAATAAAAGTGGTTACGCCCACAATGCGGATGGCTTTTAAAATTTTAATACATTTCTCAAAAAAGTAGCAAAGTTATGCGGCAACAAAAATAGCACCACTTAAAGAAAAGGCTTAAAAAACTTAAAAATAACGCGTTTTGATAATTCTTTTTGATTGAAATGTATGATTTCATACATCTTAAGGTAAAAAAATATTGTTCTAAAGCTTGGGCTGCAACAACAACGACCGACCTTGAAGTCACTAGACACCAGAATTTTCCCTTGGCCAAATTGTTGTCTGGCTCTTTCAAAATAGCTCACGGGCATTTTTTTTCTTTGGTTTTGCATTAAAAACATAATTTTTAAACATTTCTGCAAAGATTTTCGATGTGTTTTAGTTCTGGGGCTTGTAAGGTCCCCATTATACCATTTAGCCTAAGGGTTTTAAAACTTTGGACGTCTTTCTATCTGTTTTTTTTTGGCTTATAACCGTGGAAAACCTTTAAAATAAATTAGTTTTGTATTACGAATAAAATTGCATCACAATTTCTGAGCTATCAAGGTGAACATGTTGATCCTGTATGGGTTTACATTATGATATGGTACCAACATTATAGTACGAGAATATGCCCATACCATGATACTTGCTTCACCATTATTATTCTTTGCAAATGTTTGTATATGTAGGTTATCTGATGTGAATTTAAAGTCTTTTTCTTTTATTGTGGTCCTTCAAATTCACCCATGCTCTGCAGTCCAGGGAGATTTTTTTTTTGGACGTCAAGCGCATAATTTTTGTTTATGTACATTATCCAACTTTTTATGTACTTACAAATATTAAAAAAAAAGAGCGACTTGATAGGCGCCTAAAACGGGACCTACTTGCATTCATGCACATGACTTCTTAACAGTTATGGGGTCATTGCGGCTTTCGTACTGCGTGCTATTCTTTTGTGTTCTTGTTTTAGGTAACTACTAATCATTATTTTAAGGAATTCTACGATTCAACTTAACTTATCTTTTGCATTGCCTTTATAAATTAGCTTTTTAAATGTCCTTCTATCTGTATCATTACAGCGCGCTAAATGACCCATTGGGAACACTATTTTATTCATTATTTTACCAATTCTCTTAGTAGTACTTATTCTTAATACAACAAAACGAAAAACAGCCAACAAATCTGAGCAAATGAAGTTTTATACCCAAAAACCGTTAAAAGTGCTATTTTTGTTGCCGCATAATTATGCTACTTTCTTCATAAATGTATCGAAGTTTTGAAAACCATCCGCATTACGCCCACAACCACTTTTATTTTAGTTAAAGGATACGTAACCCTACTTACCCTTACACACAGAATAAAAATATTGCAAAAAATGACCATTTTGTAGCAGAAAGAAAAATTGCCCACACTTTGGTGCTATTTTTGTTGCCGCAACTGTATATAAGATTTTTTGGCATTTAGTATACAATGTACATGTGAATAACTAAAATTTGGCTTTTAAGAAGGGAAAGAAAGACAGAAGAGGTTGCAACAACATTTCGCTGTTAAAATTTACAGCGGCTGTGTTCAGAGGGTATAATAAATTTAAATGTTTCTTCTTTTCTCGTAGAATGACATATGCACGAACACCCGAGGAAGCTACAAATGTACTACCATTAATTGCCCATACGGATACGCAATTGACTCAGACCAAAAAAAGTAAGTGCAAAAGTACACATTTTAAACACTTACAATGTTTATACCCTCGCAGAGGGTATAATGATTTCAGTCAAAAGTTTCCAACGCAGTGAAGGAGATGTTTCCGACCCCATAAAGTATATATATTCTTTATCAACATCTCTTGACGAGTCGATCATGTACGTCTGTTCGTTTCTCTCTCTCTCAGTTTTAAAACTATCGGGATAAAACTTTCCCAAAAGTCGTGTTTCTATTGCAGGTAGTATATAAGTCGAAGCGAGTCGCACGGACGACTTTTTAAAATTGTAGTCATAGGAATGATAGGATTATTTATTACTAAATTGAAATGAAACAATATCTTAATAGTCCTGGAAATATTTTTTAAACTGAGAGAATAGTTTGCGAAGAAAAAGACAGCCGGACAGGGTTAGCTCGACTCATCTAGGGATGCTGATCAGATATATGTATGCTTTATGACTGAAATCTTTATACCCCCTGCAAGGATACAATATTGATCCAAAGGGGCGTGACAGCACGTCTTCGGCGCCCTTTCGAAAAAGGATGTGATTTGCGATGAACATAGTGGGGCATCACAGTGTAAACTGAAAAGATAATACAGTTCCGCTGGAATAAGATCTAAGCTTGGGGTATCTGAGTACTGTTCAAAGTTAGTGGGGGCACGATTGTCTGTTAAGCGTAATCGTTATGTGTTTACACTTTTGTTTATAGTTTTGATTCGCCAGTTTGATAGCCACTTCTCAACTACCAGATGATCTGGTAGTTAGAGTGTTTGCGGCTTTTTATTTCTGTATATTATATTTATAATACATTTGGCGAAAAAAACGTGTAGAAGGAGTTTTTAGTCTCATCCAGGTATTTGGTTAGAACTCGGAAATGATATTCTGTTTTACTTTAAAGCTTTGTTTTTTTGAAAGTTCCCTTTAACAAGATGAGTTACATACAAATTCTTATTTCCGACCAGCGTAAGTATTTTCTCATTTATAAGTTACTCTTTTATGGTTTTTTGTCGTTATCTCAACTAATAAATATAAGGACCCCTGAAAAATAGTAAGTAGCTCCTGAAGCACAAACAGCTAGACATAAAAATTTAAAAAAAACCGAAATTCGAAAATAATTAGACCCCGCTTGCTATGTACAAATTGGTACAATAGGCGACCCCAAGTCTTGCTATCTCGCTTTCTGGCATATGAAAAAAGCCAAGCCGTTAAGTGTTATATAGTAAAGGTATTTCTTTGTTAAACAATTTTAAAAACAATTTCAAACAATTTTACAATGGTTGGTTTTAAATACATATATTAAGCGGAAAATTTTAAAAGGCGTGTGATTAAACAAAGAAAATGTGCGAATAAATCAAATCCAGGTGGAAAACTAGTGAAAATAAGAATACTGAAATCAAGATATTCAAGTGTGAGTGTGTGTGTATATGCAATTTAAAACTGACGGGGGAAACGAGATTCGTTCAACTACAAATTCTTTGTAATACCCACTGATAATCTTTTGCAAAGAATTTTTTCATTTGCAAATCTTAAACAGCTTTAACACACTTCCTTCAAAGGTCAAAACTAATTTCAAATTACAAACTAGTTTTGGTATTCTCAAATTGAAATTGCTTTCCTATGTTTAAAGAAATATAAATGTTTAAACAAATAGTGAAAGCCGTGAATTTCACTCACACCCGTCTTCAACATTCCGCGTCCTGGGCACCGTGCGAAACGCACAGCATACATGTTTAGTGGCTCGGCCCATATGGGAGCAGCTTACATCGGCGTCGATGTGATTCTACGCTTTCTTACTTGCTTTGCCACTACCGTACGCCATATGTTCTTTGAAGGACAGCCGGTTGTCAATCATGACGCCCAAGTATTTCAGGCTTGGGCCAGATGTAATTGTGGCATCTCCAATTATGATAGTAGCCTCCTCAACTTTCTTTCTGCTACTGATCAGAACTGCCTCAGTCATGTGCGCTGCCAAGGCGAGTCCCTGCGAATCGAGCCATGCGCTTGCTTTGTTGCCGATTCTTTCTGCATCCGAAAAGTGTTTGGCAACCTTACTATTAGTGCTGGGCAAGCTAAAAAGTAAGCGATTGTAGTTAATAGGAAATCATTTTCATATATTTATACCCGTTACTCGTAGAGTAAAAGGGTATACTAGATTCGTCGGAAAGTATGTAACAGGCAGAAGGAAGCGTTTCCGACCCCATAAAGTATATATATTCTTGATCAGGATCACTAGCCGAGTCGATCTAGCCATGTCCGTCTGTCTGTCCGTCCGGATGAACGCTGAGATCTCGGAAACTATAAGAGCTAGGCTATTGAGATTTGGCGTGCAGATTCCTGAGCTTCTTACGCAGCGCAAGTTTGTTTCAGCAATGTGCTACGCCCACTCTTACGCCCACAAACCGCCCAAAACTGTGGCTCCTACAGTTTTGATGCTAGAATAAAAATTTTAACTAAAGAGTATTGTTCTCATCAATACCTATCGATTGACCCAAAAAAAATTTGCCACGCCCACTCTAACGCCCATAACGCTTAAATCTGTCTACCGCCGGTAGGTGGCGTATTTTAATCTCGTATTTTTAAAGAAGCCATTTATGCCAGCGTATTTGCGCTTTTTCCAACTTTTTCAACTTTGACAAAGTGTAGCTTCTAAACTAATGAATGGAACTCAATGCTGTTCTATTTCTATTTCCTGTAAAATGAGTCTTTGATGACCGAACTCGGTTTATCAAAACCCAAGTTAGAAAATAAAAAAGTGCGAAAAAGTTTTTTTACACTTTAAAAAAAATTGGTACCAAAGAAAAAATTTTCTTAATCAGGGAGATGTACCTTACCAGAAAACCAAGGTCGCCTTCAAGGTGGTGTGGTGTATGTCTCTCATCGGGTTGGTAATGGAACGCTTCCCTTTCATTAGATTCCTCAGCTCCCTGGCCTTCAATACCAGGTCTATCAGCTGTTTCAGCACATCCGTCTTCTCTTTTTCGGAAGCTTTTGAGCCGCTTTCTTCTCCTGCTGGGGAAGCGTTAGGCTGCCTGCCTTCGCAATCCGCCTTTTTTTCTGGCGATCTCGTCAATACGCTGATCTTCCTGAAAGGGTCAGATTCTTTGTTGGCCCAATCAGGGAGGCTCGACAGCGATAAATAAAAGACCTCGGCATTTTCCGGCGCCGACAGGTTTTTGTTTGCCGGCGTGCCTCCATGTACCATTGGCACCACTCCTAGGCTGGCGCCTGGGTGTTGTGCCCCCGGTCCTTGCGGACCATTTGCCCGCCTGTGGAATTCAGACCGTGTGAACTGGAAGCGCAGAAAAATTTAAGCTTTTCCCGCGGTAAGCTGCAATTTTTTTAAAATCGGACTTCAAAATTTTAAGTAAATTTAAAACTAAAATTTTCCAAAATTTTAATTTTGAAAATACAATTTTTTTCTTTAATTCCTGTGTCAATTCCTGTCTTTTTTTATTAAATCTTCTCTTCATTTTGAGACTAACAATAAGTTCATAAATCTAAGCATTAAAATTGAACTAACAGTATACTAAGGCTGCATTATTGTTCCGCGTTCCTCAAGTCGGTCGCTGGGTGGGTAAGTCATTGCGACGGAGACGTGATTGGTTGCTCAACCTTGTTAGACCTCTCACCAGGTGGTAAGGGTGCAAGGATAGCTTGATATAGTACTTTTCCTTCTGTTCTGCGATCACTTCTTTGACTGGTAGAATGTTTAAGTCTCTATGTATGTTTTCGTTGCGAACGTACCACGGTGCCCCGGTGATTGTTCTCAAGATCTTCGACTGAGCTCGCTGGACTATGTCAACATTGCTATTGCTGGCATTCCCCCATAACTGGGAGCCGTACATCCATATAGGATTTAATACCGAGTTAGCAGGACTTTATATTCAAGGCTAAGAGGAGACCAAGCGTTGATAAGCCAATGCAGACTGCTGGCTTTTAGCTTGTGTGTGTTCTTTTGGCTTCAATGTGTTGGCGCCATGTGAGTCTTCTGTCGAGGTGTACTCCTAGATACGTCACTTCGTTTGCTTGCGGAAGTAGAGTGTTGTTTAACGTGAGCGGCGGGCTTTGCCTGTTCAGGGTGACGTAACGTGCTTGCATTTTTGTTCGTTCACTTTAATTTGCCAATTTGATAGCTGCGCATTTGCTTGCATCGGGAATTTTGAGCGGCTAAGAATATCTGTATCATCATCATGTTGTTAATCGTGTGCTTGTCGGGATGTCTGCTATGTAGAGGTCATATATAGCAGTGTTGCACCTCACAGCAAATTTTCTGTCGTAGAGGTAAAACTCTAAAAGCTTGTAGGTGTTGTAGGGGAGCATTGTCTTGAACTTGTACATTAGAGCTTCTAGCCAAACTCTACAAAGCCTTGAGAGACATCTAAAAATATGGCAGTACAGTACTCTCGTTTTTCGAACGCGTTCCGAATTTCTGATGTTATCCGGTTGACCTGCTCAATTGTTCCGTGCTGGAATTCTTGGTATGTGTTTATCCGAGTCAATACGCATTTTTCAAAGAGTTTAGATAAGCATGAAAGTAGGCTTAAGGTTTTTACGACAACTGACTTTTCCACTTGGTGACCAAGCAATACTTCTTACTCGCGGAGCCCTTCACCGTTTTGGGCGAGTAAACGAAATACGCGTACAAAAAAAAGTACAATATAACAATAGACAATTCAAAATACAGGTCAAAATACGAATAGACAAGATACATAAAGTAAAACTAATTAGTTACTAAGTAGGATAGTATTATTGATTTAAAGATAGGTTGTGAGTCAGTAGTAGATATTAGGTGATATAGTCTATTATAATAATTTCAAAGTACTCTAAAAGGTTCATGAATTGCATAATTAGAGATACAATGACTTAATACTAAAAGATTGTAGTTTCTAGTGAATCTATTTGGCACATTAAAATGAAGGCGACCCAGTAGCTCGGGACTAAGATTTCTAATGAACCTAATACCAAGCATAGTTCTACGGTTAGGTAATGGTGGTAAGCTAATTTGAAATAGTCTACTGGAGTAGGATGGCTTGTAACCAGAAAATGATCAGAAAATTTAAGTTTAGGATCCATATAGACTTTAAGGTCGTCAGCATGCGTTATTCTATCTAACACATAACAACTCAAAGTATAAGTTGAATAGTGAGGGATGACACGGAAAAAGGTCAATAGTTTACACTTAAAACCATTTAAATTTAGATCATTATCCATGCACCATGTTTGAAATGCATTGAGATCAAATTGTAAAGCTAAACTTTGTGCGGGATCATTATATTGCAGGCACAACTAAACGTCATCTGCGTACATAAGTACACGTAACTTCGTTAAGACTAGAGGAAGGTCATTTATAAATAACGTAAACAGGACCGGACCAAGATGACTTCCTTGTGGTACACCGGACGTAACTCGGATTAGGGATGAAAAAGAGTTTTTAAAAATGACCCTTTGAGTCCTGCCATTCAAATAACTTAAGATATCTTAAGAAGATCACCTGGAAACCCTAAAAGGTCCAGTTTCCGGACTAGAATCGGGTGTATCACAAATGAAGTAAACTCCAAAAGGTTGGTTGTTGTTGACCTACGTTTTATAAATCCGTGTTGACCAGAGGAAATAAGGGACCTACAACTGTGTTGCAAATGGGGCGTAATAATGCTTCGGTATAGCTGATAGCTTTGAAATACCTCTGTAATTACTTGCGTTCAATTTATTCCCCTTTTTATGAAGCGGGATAACAAATGACTTTTTCCATCTGTGTGGGAAATCGGACGTTTCTAAAGACAAAGTAAAAAGTTTGTGCAATGGTCTACACAAAGTCTCAGCGCCATCCCTAAGCACACATCCAGGGACTTCGTCAGGACCCGGAGAGTAGACGGGTTTGGCCCTTTGTAAATCTAAAATAAGTGAGCTTTTTCTTATAACAGGACAAAAAATAAAGTTTGATTTTGGAATGTCAAACGGGTAAGACTGATCTGGAGGACTTGATGTTGAATAGGTGGTTTGAAAAAACTTTGCAAAAAGATCGGCTATGGCCTGATCAATGTTTGCGGCCGAATTTTTTAAATTTAAGTGATGATGGGTAACTTGAAGATTTACGCTTTGTGTTAACAAAATTATAAAACTGTTTTGGATCCAGTGTAAACTGGGTCTTGCAACGAGCTAAATAGTTTTTACAAAACTGGGCGTTAAGCACGGAAAAACAGAGCGAGCACTTAAGTATCACGAAAAGGCAGCTTGTGAACGGGAAGCTCTAAACTCTTTGTAACGTCTAGACTTAACATTTTTAAGTTGTGCCAGCTCTTTGTTAAGCCACGGAGGTTGGTTTGAAATTTTAAGATAATACGTAGGAACGCATGTATCGCTTCAGTTATATTAGTACATAAGTACATATTAGACCAATCCGAGCAAGCTATAAGGCTATTAATGAGTGCAAAGTTCGCTCTACGAAAGCATGGGAAGTGTTAAGCTGACTTTTCAGATAGTTTATGCACTTTTGTACCCGTGTCAATAGTCAGCTCTAACGTTGGGTGAGGTGCTGAGGTTCTAGCTATGCAAACACAATCTGGACTAGAAACAAAGCATAGATCCAGTAATCAAAAACAAATTTTTATATAAACCAGAATTAAAAAAGGAAATGAAATATATCGGCTTGGTAATTTTAATCGTCTGTCGATCTCCGCTTTCCCAGTGTCAATACTGCACAGTGTGCTACACCTAACTTCCCGGGTCTTCCCCAGATATCAGATCGTTGTACCAATCAGTTTAACAACTAGGTGAGCTGAGTTACGTGTTGGATTTATAATATGAAGTGTCGCTGGCTGTCACGTTTTCTCCCCTGGCCATGAAAATGGCCACTTGGAAGTCCTTGATAGTTTCTAACCATGTTCCGCGTGCCATACATAGGTCGATGGTGGACCGAGCTTCACCTCTCATACACCTGCGTTACAATCTCCTATGGTCAGTGCCCTTTTATTTAGTCGAGCATGGTTTAAAACCTCATACAACTTCCCAGTTGGATAATACTGGTCTCATCTACATTTATGAATCTGATTATATTCCGGTCGTAAAGTTC